CTTTGGATCCTCCCCTGCTAGGCTTTTGTCAGAGTCTCCAGGGTTGCCCTTACAAGGAGGTCTTACGGCGACTCCGAGAGCACAAGTTGTACCTTCGAGCGGAGAAGTGCGACTTTGAAAAATCGTCAATCGAGTACCTCGGAGTCATTATCTCCCACAACCACGTCGAAATGGACCCTGTCAAGGTCGCAGGCGTCTCCGCCTGGCCGACTCCGGAAAACAAGAAGGACATTCAGCAGTTCCTTGGGTTCGCTAATTTCTACCGCAGGTTCATTCGGGACTTCTCGACCCTTGCGCGCCCTCTTTTCTTGCTCACCAAGAAGGACCAGCAATGGACTTGGGGCAACACGGAGGCCTCCGCATTCCAAGCGATCAAGGACGCGGTCACCTCGGAACCGGTCCTGGCGATTCCGGATGACGCACGGCCTTTCCGACTCGAGGCGGAATTATGCGACGGGGGCGGTTCTTTCACAATCCGCCCCGGACGGGAAGTGGCACCCTGTAGTGTTCTATTCCAAAAGCTTAAATGATGTCCAGCGCAACTACGAAATCCACGACAAGGAGATGCTCGTGATCATCCGCGCACTCGAGGAGTATAGACACTTCCTTGAGGGTGCCGCGCACCCTGTCAAGCTTTGGACTGACCATAAGAATTTGAAGTACTTCAGGAAGACGCAGCACCTCAACCGGAGACAGGCCCGGTGGTCTCTGTACCTCTCCCAGTTCAACTTCACGCTGTTAGCGAAACGCGTAGTCAGAGATAATTGATAATTGATAGACGTAGCGTAGAGTGTACGATTTGGCGTTATCAATTGATAATGTGTTTAGGGTTCAGTTCAGTTCGTGCGACGACACCCAAATATCAAACAATACTCCAAGTCAGTTGATTGAGTCTTCTCTTAGAATAAGAGAAGATGAGATAACAAAACAGTAAAGCTTCCGTTTCCGGTCCCGGCTCTGAACTCCTCCGCGACATCTGTGATGCCCTCTCCGGTGAGCCCGACCTGGAGGAGCCCGTCGCACTAGCGGCCCGGCAACTTCTTAAGGTTCAAGGTCAAGCTCGAGGCCCCCGCTCCTCATGTTCTGACAAGTGGGCCGTCTCTGGCGGTCTTCTCCATTTCCAAGGAAAGATTGTCGTACCAAAGGACAAGGACCTTCAGAGACGCATCATCGAGCTCTGCCATGACACTCGAGTTGCCGGACACTCAGGTCGCTTCAAGACCTTGGAGTTGGTCTCCCGGAACTACTGGTGGCCCCAAATGTCTCGCCATATCGGCCAGTATGTCGCAACTTGCGACTTGTGCTGTCGCACGAAAGCGCTCCAGAGACTGCCCCATGGGGAGCTACACCCCACGGAGACGCCTCCCGGAACGCTGGCATACTGTTTCCGTTGACTTCATTGTAGAGCTCCCCAAAGCCCATGGGTACGATCCGATCATGGTCGTTGTTGACACCCTCGGAAAGCGCGCCCACTTCTCGGAGTGTCATACGACGGTCGATGCAGTAGGGGCAGCCCGCCTCTACTACCGGAACGTCTGGCGGCACCATGGGACTCCAGAGAAGTACATCTCTGACCGTGGCTCGCAGTTCATCGCAGACTTCACCCGAGAACTTTGGCGTCTAATCGGCATCAAGCCCGCCACGTCCACCGCGTATCACTTGCAGACGGACGGGCAGACAGAACGCGTCAACCAGGAGTTGGAGCAATACCTGCGGATCTTCACCATCTATCAGCAGGACGACTGGGACAAGCTGATTCTGGCTGCGGAGTTTGCCTACAACAACCACGTTCACTCCTCCATGCAACAAGTCCCGTTCATGACGGACTCGGGCTGGCTCCTGCGCATGAGCTTTGAACCCGGAGTCCGCTCCGCTATGGAGTCTGTGAATGGGTTCCCCGACCGGATCGCCACTGGTGTTGCTGAAGCCAAGGCTGCGCTCACAAAGGCCAAAGAGAAGTACAAACGCTACTACGACCGGAGACGCACTCCGTCTCCGGAGTTTAAGGTTGGCGACCATGTTTGGCTGGATGCCTCTGACATCAGGACGACTTGCCCCTCGGAAAAGTTCTCCCATCGCCGCCTCGTACCGTTCAAGATAGTCGCGGAGATCAGCAAAGGTGCCTACAAGCTCGACCTCCCTCCGCACTACTCGAAGCTCCACCCGGTCTTCCCCGTCGTCAAGCTCGAGCTCGCCCAGGACGACCCCTTCGACGGACGCCCCGGCTACGACCAGCCCCCTCCGGACCTTGAGGACGGAGTCCCGGAGTGGGAAGTAGAGGAAATCTTAGACGCAAGGGTGAGGTATAAACGGCTGAACTACTTCGTCAGATGGAAAGGCTACGACGCATCGCACGACCAGTGGGTCCGCTTCGACCGCATCTTCGCCCCGGAGAAAATTGCGGAGTTCTATCGTAAGTACCCTGGCAAGCCACGACACATCGCCTCCGCGACCTTCGACTCGATTCCGTTCCGGTCTATGCGTCGGGACGCCGCATTCAAAGGGGGGGGGTGATGTCAGGGGAACCTCCCTTTCGGCCCGGAGACGTGTCCAATTCCGGTCCGATTCCGGTTCCGACTCCGGTCCGGCCCTCCATCTCGCCCGCACAATCACCAATCCGTCAACGCCCTCCCGACGGTCGCCCTGGGACCTCGCCTGCAACGCCGCCCAAGCCTTCTGTGCCCGACAGCGGCAGCTACGGACAAGCAGTATATAGTCAGCTCCCTAGCAGGCGGACCCTTAGAGTTTCTTCTCTTTGGATCCTCCCCTGCTAGGTCAGCTTCATTTGTATTCGCTTACCAATGTTCACGCTTTGGATCCTCCCCTGCTAGGACCTTGATCTCAGGCCTGGTTGCCCTTACAAGTTCTTCAGTTCTGAGAGTTTTCACAAATTCTCTAGAGGAAATGTTCAGTTTGCTAAAAGCTTTATTTGGGTTAGAGTGATAAGAAATCAAGGTATTTTCCAGAGACTAATATTGCTTGTTCAAAACTAGTGGTGACTAGGTGATTTGTACCATAATGGATAGGACTATAAATATAGGCTTAGTATTGCCACTTACAACAGCCTACAGGCCAGTGGCCCAGTATGGATCCAATCCATATACCTTGCTGCCTCTACCACAGGAGAGCGGCAAATACTATTATACTGCTAATGAATTCTTCGTGCTTAGGTGCCAATTCTGCAAGAAGGCAACGGCAAGACTTGTTTGCTTGAAACTCTAAGTGCCTGTAGTGCCTGTATAAGTTACGAGTAGTGATAAGTCCCTGAAAGATCAACTTGAACTCAGTGGATGCCTTTCCATAACTCAGATTGTGTGTTGCTCACTTCTAGCGGTACCACAATGAGACTTGAGTAGTTGAGAAATAATGAGTTTTGGAGTTTTGCGCTTCCCATAATGCACTTACTCAAATGTAGCTGACTGCCTTTTGGCTGAGTGGCAAGTCGTGTCAACGCGCAGTTTTCCTTCGGTTTTCCCTCCAGGCTCCCATGTATCCCACTAATATCAACAACACCGTGACGGTGCCCAGTGGCTTGATTTAATGGTGGAACTCAGGGCTCCATAGCAAGCAAATGCTGCTAGAAGGAGGGTCGCGGCTGTTGGCGGTGTTCAAGTTGTGACGGAGGTGGACCTTTTCTGCCCAATTGCCGCCGGCGGACCGTCAGCCAAAGATGGCTAAATATGCATTTGTAGAACACTACAAATCTAAGGAGGGGGTAGGAATAAGGCTTCTCACGAGTGTCACGGATAAATACCTGTACTCTACCTGCGGGTAATTTAGGCTTCAAAACCAATACCTGTATTTGCAGCATCCGTGGGAAACGGGTACCTGTACTCACGGATACCCGCCTGCACGGGTTATCCATGGGTATTTTGAATAAAATATTAGGATACTGAGGTATATTGACAATATTAAGAGCTTATATAGAATATAGTATCAAGTACTATACTGATATGGACACTACAGGGCATAAGAAGACTGTAGTGACTGGAATATATAGAAGACAATGAAAATTAAGATCTTCCAGAGTCATACCTGTACTCTTGGCATCCGTGGGAAACGGATACCTGTATCCGCGGATGTCAAACCTGCGGATGTTTTCCTGCAGGTACCTGTGCAAACATCCGCGGGTGTTGACACTCGTGCGGAGCTTTAGGTAGGAACCCCCCTCCTCAGATTCAAGGAAAGTAAGAGAGTGTATGCCACTCTTTAAGCTTCGGGGTCCTCATGCAGATCCGGCTTCTGCCCGGCATCATGTTCTGCTGAAAGTACTGTAGCATTTTATTCAATTCGGCGCCCGAAATCGGTGTGACATCGGCGCCGAAATGAAATTTTCGGCATCTGGTAGCTCCAAGTGTGACCGCCGAAAATTTTGGGCAGATTTTGGCGCGGCCCGCAGGGCCGCGCCAGCCAAAAATGGTACATCAGCCGAGGGAATTCGGCGTCTAGGCTGTCGAGTGTGACCGCCGAAAAAATTTCGGCATTTTAAGGCCGGTGTGACGCGTGACCGCCGAATTGAATAAAATGCTACAGTAAAAGTGCATCTGAGGTTGTGGAAAGGCATCGTATTTTACATCTTTATCATTTTCTCAGTTCTGTTTGAACTCTTTGTGTGTACCCGTGATCCGGTTTCGCATTGGCGACGGTTGCTCAGTGAACAGCCACGGCCCGGAAATTCCCCAATGTCCGGGCCGTACTGACAGCACCACTGTCACTTGTCCCACTCATTTTCGCCACAACCACTACAGTAAGTATATGGAACTACGACGCGTAAACTCCCCGCAACGGCCGACTGGCACTTTCCGTACCTTCATTCGGGAGGAACAATCACAAGTGATCGTTGCTGAGACCAAGGGTAACAAGCTCATAAGCTGCCTAGGCTAATAATTAAAGCGCAGTGTGTTGCGTTCACACCGTCCGATCCGAGCCTGTTTCTTGCTTTCCTCCGTCACCACACCCATTCCTCTTCCGCCCTTTTCTACCTTGGTCCTCAGGCTCTCATGGAGGCCTATTCACATGTCGGACCCGGCCACAGTCTCCATCGCGACGACCGCATGCGCCTGATGCGCTCGACCCGGAAGATTGGAGAGGTTATGGGCGAAACCCCGCATCCTGTTTACCCAGCTCAGGCAAGGAAACCGGACAAGAAGGCGCTTCCTCCCGTCCCCCCACCCAAGGATACCGCTTTGCGGCATCGACACCGGCCCTCGCTCGACTATACTCGTGAAGTAACGTCCAATGGCGCGGCCTCAGCGTCAATAGCGCGTCCAGTGCTGTTTATAAACCTCCCAGAGTCTCCACAGCGGGCCATTCCCCGGCCATTGCCTACACTTTCACCCACGCTAACACCCACCCTGACGCCGACCCCGCTTCCCTCGCCTTCTTCAACAGTCAAGAGCTTCATCGCCAATCCCCACTCCATTGCGGGTGCGATCCGTCGCTATGGCGTTACTATCAAAGACGAATCTGCCCGTCGCAGGACCATGGCAAAGCTGGCGAGAACTCTAGGAGAAACAGTGCCGCCCGCGCTGGTCTTCCCCCCGGACAGCGAGACTGCGAAGAAGGAAGAGCGCAAGGCTCGCAGGCTGACCGTGCGATCGGTCAAAAGCGACAAGGGCTCTGTGAGAAGTGTAGGGCGGGAATCGGTCACGAGCAGGACGTCGAGGGAAACAAGGAGTCGGAAACGCGGGGGGAAAGACGATATATCGCGGGGCTGGGTGTGGGTAGGGCGGCCAGAGGAAATTCCGGTGGGGGTAAAAGTGAAATTGAAGCCGCGGAGGAGAGTGGACAGTGGGGCACCGCCATTTAACTGGTACCCGCCACACGAGCAGGAGGAAGATGACATACCAGAGGATGACGATGAATATCTCGATGAGGCATCTGCACTGGCACCATATATGAATGATTCGTTGCGGGTTCGGAGGCGGGAAGACGGCTGGAGTGGTGAGTGGGTGGGCAATGTGCAGAATATGGATGAAGTTGTCAAGGGCTTGCGGAGCTTGAAGGTTAGATGATTTGGAGGAATACACCCTCAGACTGTACATTTGCATTGCATGAACTGCTTGCTAAACTTTTCAGATCGTCCCAAATGCGATGAACACACAAATAAATAAGTTCGAGTCGTTTCAGGCTGCTCCAGCTGGTCCAACGGTCGGCAAGAATAGGTCTCCCGGTTGTCTTGTGCGAGAGCTACCCGAGGGTGAGGTTGTGGCTGGCCAAATGCAGTGGAAACAACTCGAAAGCCGTTGCACCCTCATCCGCTCCAGGCTTGCGACCACCGAAGAGCACGAGAGTGACAGTGAAAAGCCAGCCAAAGATGAGCAGCAACTGGACGATGACGAGATAGTGAGTGGTACGGGCTGTCTTCCTCTCTCGATTTTGGTCACGGTGAAGGTGGCTCCTAGCACTGGGCTCCATGTACAAGTGGTCGTGTGGTGCGAGTAAAGCTTCGACTGCACCCTCCGCGGTGGGGACGTAGAATTGGCCGCGATAGATGGAGAGAAATGGGAGCATGCAGGCAACTGGTGCCAATGCCGGTGCCGTTGGTAGTCATATAAGTATACTTACTACTTCAATACTAGTAGTATTTCGCCTACAAGCAGCCGAGAAAAAGGTGGATACTTTTCGCTCCCAGCATTCAAATGCGACTTCTGGCGGGCCAAGCGAGCATTCTGGGAAGTGAGGCGACCGCGTTCGGTATGCAGTATAGGTTAGTACTTGCGGGAAGTAAAAGTCCGGACTCCGCAGAAGAGAACGCGAATCTTGGCTTGTTTGCCGTCGCTTGGCTGCCTCCCCATCAAACGTCACCTTGATGTGACGACGGTCTGTTTCTTCATTCGAAGATTCACTTCCTTCCCTCCCTCCCTCCCTCATTGCGTCCGCGCGATTGCAATCCGACGAGATCGAGATCGTCGCTTGAGCGAATCTTGGCTTGTTTGCCGTCGCTTGGCTGCCTCCCCATCAAACGTCACCTTGATGTGACGACGGTCTGTTTCTTCATTCGAAGATTCACTTCCGCATTAAGGAATTGACCCGACAACGACGTTATAAGCCCGGACTCGGGTAGGACGGTCCTGGCGCCATCTCGCCCAGGTGGCTCACGCTCGCCCCACCTATACTACGCCAGAATTAACTGAATGACAAACGAACGCTCGTCGACATCTCCACGCAAGAAACCTACCTGAAGGAAGAGGAACACTAGCTACTCTTGAGCTCAACTTGAGCTACTCTTCTGGCGCTCCGAGCTCCCCGAGACCGTGACAGGGTCATAATCTGGCGACAGGCGGCGATGAAACGCATATCACCAAGCCATTCAAAAGCCATTGGCTAAGTGTGGGCGTCTCTAAATCGGGGTAAATTCGACGAAAAAAATCTCCTGAATTATGATTGCAGCAGATATGGCTATTTTGAGCCAAGCGCAGCCAGGTTTATGTGCTAATAAAGCTATTTTCGCCTCGTATTCGGCTCCGGCACCCTGACTGATCCTGTTATCCCTCTTCTATGTCACTCTCTGGCACAAGTGGACGCCCTGCTTGGTTGCCATTGCAGTCCCAATCGAGAGTTGACCAAGACCCGCTCCTCCCCACCCATGAATTCTCGCCGAGTGTGGAGAATGAGGAGGACTACGAAATAGAGCGGTTCTCCGAAAAGAAAGAGAGCTGGAGACAGCGGTTGTGGCGCTACAAGTGGTACTCGCTCGTCGTCCCGCTTAGCTTACTGGCGCTAGTCTTACTTGGCTCGAGGAGAGCGAGCAAACCTAGCCAGCCAGAGCGAGAAAAGCCCCCCCATCGTGCGTGTCATTGCTTGTCTTCTGAGCTAGCCCTTGACCTATCTACCGTTCCAGCCACAACACTACCGAACCTCGCTGCCTCCCCCCACACCAAAATCGACCTGTTGCTGTCCAGCCAATCGTCCACGCTCGCCCAAGCCACCTCCAGGTATCGACTACGCAACGGGCGCGAGCCTCCACCCAACTTCTCCCAGTGGTTTGACTACGCGCGAGAGCACTCATGTCTCATCGACGAGTACCACCAAATTGCTCAAGACTTCGAGCCATTCTACCAGCTCGCGAAAGAGGACCCGGAGTACTTCAAAAGGATGCTCAGTAAAGCCTCAGACATCGTGCGCAGTCGCTGTCATTGACAATCCTTGCTAACGGTACACGAGGTTCATGCTAATGGACTGGGCATGACTACGGGAGCCTTTGAGAACGGTGCCTTCAAATATACGGACTTCCACGGCGTCATGTATACCAATTCCTGGCCGCGCACATTTGGAAGAGTGCGTTGTCTCACTTGTTTTGACATAGCGCTTACCCGCAGAAAAGCTAGCGCCGTTCATGCCCAATATGTCACTCGTTCTCAATAGTCGCGACGAACCGCGTGTCCTCTTCAATCACCGCAAGATTCTCCCCGACATGAAGCACCAGGCGCTTGTGGAGACAGACCCGCATCCTTTTCACCACTCGCCAACACCGACCGACCAATACTTCCGCGATGAAATGGGCTGCCTGATACCGAATGCGCCAAAGGGTTTTACGGATCCAGGAAATAACTCTAGTGCTTGTATGTGCTCTGGCTTTCTTGTTATGTGGCCTGACCTCTTCCAGTTATGCTTTACTCTTCAAGCACCGAGTTCACAACCAGCTTATACCCCGTCCTCAGCGTGACGAAGATTTCCCCTTGTTTCTCGGATTTGGTCGTCCCCAGCGAGTTCTACTACTCCGACTCCGAGTTTGCGGCCTTCTACGCGTACAAGGACAATGTGGACTGGCGGAAAAAAGAAGAGAAGCTTTGTTCGTCGTTTCTTTCTCCTTCTTTCCTTTTCAGTCTGACGGACAGTAGACTGGCGCGGCTCATCGACTGGCGGGCACATCTACAACGACAACTACCACCACTTCCCGCGCTTTAAACTCGTCGACATCTCCCGCACTGAACGAGGAGGTCCTTTGATGGATGTGGCGCTGAGCGCTTTCCATGACTACCTCTGCGGTGCGGGCTGCGATGCCCGCGTTTTGATGGAGAAGTATGGTGCTGTTCGGGCGGGGACGGAGGTTAAACGGCCCCGGGAGGAGGTATACAAGTACAAGTACCTTATGGATGTGGACGGCAACTCGTTTTCGGGGAGATATATTGGGCTGCTGAAGAGCGGGTCGTTGGTATTCAAGGTAAGTACTCAGTTCCCTCACGTTGAATACCACATCTGACCTTGTCCGCAGTCTACGGTCTTTACGGAATTCTTTTCACAGTGGCTCGTGCCGTTCGAGCACTACATTCCCGTCCTGCCGGACTTGTCTGACTTACTGGACAAGATTGAGTGGGCGAAGAACAACGATGCGGAGGCCCGGGCGATCCAGAAGGCGGGCAAAGAGTTTGCAGAGCGGGTGTTGACGGACGGGCAGATGGACTGTTATTTCGCGCTGGCGATGTTAGAGTGGGGGAGGTTACAAGCGATGGCGGAAGCAGCGGAGGAAGCGCGGGTCAAGACGGATAAAGGGAAGAGTAAGGGTGAAGGGGAGGCGTTGGACTGAGGCTGGCAAAAGTATCTATTGGTAACTTAGTGGTATGTTGTGTGTGTGTGTGTGGATGTAGAAGATAATCTACCAGAGAAATGTACTAGTCATAATGCACTTATTTACTATTTTTTTTGTGACATGGGAATACTACTTGGTTCTTGGACTGAAACTTCACTATCATGGACGAATCCCCATGGTTTCTGGTGGATTGGGACTTGATATACCGTCACGCAGGGGCTCACCCTGCTGTATCTTTCACTGTGACCATTCGATGAACTCCCTGAAGAGCTTCTACTGTACGTGAAATCTTCACGCTTATGCTTCCCGGGCCCCGCCAGACGCACTACTAGTACGATACGCCATATTCGCTTTTTTGTTCCGTCGCGAGTGGGAGCAAATGGTCTACGCCCACCGTGGCGGCCTGCACAGGTCTCACGCCGGTGGAGATGGTCGCAATATCCGATGCTTTGCTCTGGTCAACGATAGCGCAGCAAGTCTGGGTCACTTCGCATTACTGGAACTCCAGCTGGAGCGCTCTGGCGATGTCCCCCTCGACTTGCTTGTTTGGCCCTCCCAGTGTTTCAGTTTTGAATGACCACCCAATCTATTATTACATACTAGTATGATTACAGACCATCAAACCCTGTTGTCCTCCGCACTTTTATACCCATACTCATACCCGCCGGGCTCCGTAATCGTACCGTCCCTCTCCCCTAGTGTCACCTTCGTCATCGCAATATTGACCCCATTGTGCGCCACCGCGCTTCCGTGGGCAGCGGTGGTCGAGTAGCCGGGACGGTACGAGTTGTTCCCGCTGCTGGCCCAGTCTGCTGTACTTCTCGTCATCTCTCGGAGGTTGTCGCGCGAGTTGAGCGAGGCCATCAGCGAGTTTGCGAACACTGTGCTGGAGAATTAGCATTCGACCCAAGGCAGAGACGAAACGCACAGCGTGCTTTGACGACTTGCAGAGATACCCATATAACTAACCAACGTGTTAGTGCCATAAAATGGGACTATAGACAACCACACACAGTCGTTGGGTTGACGGACACACTGCTCTGTTGTCAGAGTCCGGAAAGTTCATCTGTTGGATGCACTCACGAAGATCAAGCTCAGACAACTGAATATGCCGGTAATCAACCCCGTCTCTATTAAATTTCCGTCAGCGGCAGAGCAAATGAAGCAAGCACTACTGGTCACCGAGGGTCCACTTGATAAGTTGATCCAACATCATGGCTGTTTTCGCGAACCCGCCCTTCCTCGTCAACAGGAGAAGTGTGATCAGCGAGATCGTAATGCTGCCGTCATTGAAGACATTCAGCGAGTTCGGCACCACGAGTAGCCAGTCGAAGCGCGCGTTGAACGCGGGGATGTTGGCGGCCTGAATCGACAGAACGGTGTCGGCCGTGGTGCCAGCGACGAAGAGCGTGATGGTAACACAGAGAACGAGCGGCACCAGTTTGAAGAACTTCAAGTTGTTTTGCGCGAGAGTCCAGATGCGGAACACGAAGAAGGCCTCCACTAAGACAAGTTGGTAGGGGTAGACGCGTAAGGAATAAGCATACCCAATGCGGTATTGACCGTGCCGAGGAGAATCGTGAGGGCGAGAGTGGGGGGAATCTTATCGAGGAATATCAATGGATTGCCGTAATTTACCACCGCATATGTGTAGAGAACATGGCTGATACAGAAAATGTGGACAAACTCCATGACCCTGATGATGTGTGAGTATTCAGCGTTTCTTCATTCCATGTACTTGCTTACCACACAATGGTAACCTGAAAGAAGTTAGCGGACGTCAACATGAATGGCCACGGAGAAACGCACCAGCCACTTGATCATCCGCGGGTCCTGCGGGAAACGACGATAGTAGACATAGTTTTGTGTGGTATTAATCCCAAATAGGATACCTTTCGAGGGCGTCAGCTAAGTGCCAGTGAGACAGCAGATTGTGGCGCAAACCCACCCGACGCCAGCGTCCCGACAAGTAGAGCACCTACGGGAAGATCAAAATGGGGAGAAAACGTTTTAGCCTCCTACCAATTGTTGGGTTGGGGTCGAATGGCGGAAGCGAGGGCAGAGGAGATGTTGGTGGAGGCGCAGCCATCTTCAAGCACCAAGCCCCAAGGGTTAATCGTCGTTTATAAGGTGCCCGAACAGCTAATTTTGCGTGGGAGGGAGATTCGAGATTTACGCGCGCCATGTCAAACGGATTGCATCGATCTGCCATATCCGCCATGTCAAGGATTCCAAGTGGGATTCGGCATGGGTGCCGCCCTCGCTGTTAGGTAGCCTCCGCTGAGGACAAAAGCGGCTTGGGCATTTTCGAGTGGGATGTCTGTCCGCGAGGGATGATTAACGGTATTCTCCCAGTGGTTTACGTGAGTATCCCTCCCACATGTCCGCGCCCAAAGGTGAGGGGAACTTGAAGAAAGGCGAAATTCTAAAAGCGTGGATCATTCGAATGTGGCGAGTCTGCCGAGCCAAATATCGTACCTGAATAGAAGGATTCTGAAGCCTAGATTCAGGCCTGATAGCAATCGAGGGAGCGACGCTCGTCCAGGGTAGCCCGTTACACCCGCCATGATTTTGCTCCGATTGGTCCTCCGACTCGAAGGAGGGTGGTAATCTGTCAAACGTCTGTTAGAGAGCGAAGACATGAAGAGAGCAGAAGCCGTACTGATTCGAAGGCCCTGGCCCGCTCTCTATGCATGTGGATCCGGAGTTATCGCGGGCTTATCTGTTGGGGCACAAAGTTTGACAGAAGATGAGTAGGCCACTTAGTAGTATAGGCGATCCTATTTTGCTGTGCTGTCCGTCGGACAAAGAATAGATGGAGAACGACATAGAGAGCTTAAATTCTCAAGCGCTATGGCGATGTTGAGCAGTTTGAAAGTCGTTGTCACGTTGCGGGGGGCTGAGAGCGGTTATGCGAGACCCTGCCGACGAGCATCGTGAAGGCTAACAGAAGATACTACCTAATGGTTGTGATAAGGAGTGAAGTAGTAATTGACAGCGTACAAGATATGTCGAGACCTTTCAGATGGGGGGCTGACTTTCGAAGCAGCCTTCAAGTTGCTACAGCCTACGAATGGCCAATGTGCGCGGATGGCGGTGGCAGGTTAAGCGAGAGCCTGAAAGATATGGCTCCTTGGTTGAGATGCGGAGACAAGAGGAATATTGTTGAGGTTGTGGAACCCACAAAAAGCTAGTTAACTGAGAAGTTGAGAAAGGAGAGAGTAAGTTGTTGATGTACACGTGATATGACGCGATTGATGTGACAAGTAACGCGACCATCTTTTCCTCGTCCCGAATCCGAAGCTGGAGCACAACTGGATCCTCCGACAATAACAAGCGCTCTGACCCTAAGACTGGCTCGCCTGTTGACCATTCTGGCGCAAACTTGAAAATCTGAGGCAGAAATCATTGGCAAGCGGCAAAACGATAGGCAAACGATCATGATGTAGTGCTCTGTCTCCACACAACTGTTACAATGTAACCATCTGGGCCCTAAGTATGAAAGATATGCCGCCATAATCAACCTTCGTCGATTGACGCAGAAAGACTTCGGTTGCGATCTCTGCAAGTACTTCCGAGTCCGTTGTCGAATTCCGGTCGCTCGCTGTAAAGAAAAGCCGAAAATCTGCGCCATAGAACACGCATCAGTCGCCCGCTATACTTATTCAAGCATTTCAAAGCTCCTCACCAAAGCGCATCAATCCGCGCCATGACCCGCCACTTGACGCTTGGTACAACGAATAACGACGGTCCTCTGAGCTTTGAACGTCCTCGACCTTATATTTATATTTAAGCCGCTATGCGCCCTCTCAACCCTCAACAGCTCCAAACCAAACACACCAACACCTCATCCTCCTACTCGAAAAATCACCATGTCGTTCACCTCCCCAACCAAACGCCGCGTTACTCCCCGCCCCTACAAGCCGGCGGACTGGCGTGTGCAGCGGTCCACCAACCACCTCATGCAATCCCCCATCTCATTTGACTACCGCCACACAAGCGCTTCGCTCGCGGGCCAGGGTGTCGCCATGCGCGATTTGAGACTCCAAGGAAACGCGACGCGAATTGAAGGTGCCAACGACTTGGTGCTTGCGCACAGCGGCCTGGCGCGCATCACTTTCCGCATTATCGTCAGTGGACCTTACTGCTCTATCCCGTTGTTTTCTGACTTGGTTATTCAGTGGCCCGGCTACGAACATGTTGAATGGTGCCGCACAATGAGCATCGTCTCCGACCATGGTGCTCCTATCACCCGCCTCGGCCTCGCAATCCAAGTGGCAAGCAGCTTCGCTCACTGGACAGAGGTATGTTGCCCCACTTCCCAAATGCTATTTGCTAACAGATTTTGCAGAAAACCCAATACGAGAAGCCGACATCTCCCGAATGGATGGTGTCCCCCGCCTGCGTGCAATTCAAACACATGTACCTTGTGTCCCTCATCAACACGTTCGAGAACGTCTGGCAAGCTGACGTCGCGTTGGACGTTGTTTAAAGACACTACCCGAACAACAACTGTATTTTTAGTGACATTATTCCCGATGTATTTCGCTGCCCATTTAGAATGTGATTCATTTCAACTTTTCCTCGACTGACCCTATTTGAGAAACGCTGCTGGTTTTCAGTCCTCACGACTGCACTAACCAGCTACTAGTACTAGTACACGTTCCTTAGTAGTTGGAAGCAACATGTGCTCGTCTCGCCATGCAAAAGCGAGCCCCTAACGTCGCTCTTCCGAATTTTCCACAACGATTTCCTTTGGCAAGCGAAGACTTGACGAAATTCAAAGCAATGTTAGAAGTGAGAAGAGTATCACTGCCGCCGCAAACGCGCACATTTAAGGTCTTGGTGTGGAGAAGGAGGAGCGCCGAAGGGAAGGCATTGTCGAAAGGCGTGGCTTGAGCGTGGCACATCCTGGTGCGTTTCGACGCATTCAATTTTCTTGCCTCGATGCAATACTAGATATCCGCGCATTCTGGGCTTTCTTTTCAACGAAAAGTGCTTATATTATTAGTCCTTGCCATTTCCTGTAATCTAGCCCACTCAAGTAACACCAGCGAAAAATAGCAGTCATTCTGCTCGTCCGTGACCACCCTCTCCGCCATCTCCCGCCCGCGCTCCTGAATCATGCGCGCCTCAACCTCGTTCTCCTTCGCCCACGCCAGCTTCTCGGTGAGGTCGGACAAATCGGACGCAACGGGAATGTAGTGCTCGTATGGCCGCAGCCAGTCGTTGAAGTACTCCTGGAAGACGGTCATCTAAGTCGAGTCAGTTCGAGTCCTCCTTTGGGCGGCGCCGTACCTTGAAAACCAAGCTCCCCGACCGTAATAATCCCAAAAAGCGGCCCGAAAACGTGGTCCCGTCCAAGTCAAGCAGGTACTTGTACCCATACGCATCCTCCTTCTGGGACCGCTCGCCCGTGATGTCGTATTCCTTCAAGATCTTCGCCTTGTCGCAGACGGCCACCGAGCACAGCTCGTCCGCAAATGACGTGATTCTCCCGTTGATCAAGTCTGGGTGCTTCCGCGCCAGATCAACCAGGCGGAAACGGGTGAAGTTGTGGTAGTTGGAGTCGACGATTTGTCCGCCACTCGCGATGCCGCGCCAGTAGAGCTGTGCCTTCTTCCGGTCCCAGGGGATGTTGTTGGCGTAGGAGAACTTGCGGTACCACCATGAGCGCTGGTAGTAGTACTGCGCCACGACTCAGAAGTCGGTGAAGGAAGTAAACTGATAACATACCTCGATGGGGAACAGGATGTCAGCGAAGCAGGGACCGATCTTGGCCATGGACAAAATCGGGTACAGGTCTTCGGTGAATTGGCTCATCGCACTAGATAGCAGGACTAGAAACGTTTTAGAAGAGTCGTTATTGACTACGAGTTCAGACCTACAAGCACTATCGTCGCTGGCGACGTCGGGAAAGCCATCAGGATTGCGCAGGATAGTGCAGCCTGGCTGGCCAGCAAAATATGTCTGCGTTTGCTTGGGGGACACATTGAAGGGCGTCTTCTCGGTGAGCTTGCGCGCCCGCTCGCGAATCTCTTTGCCCGTTTGGCGGACGTCGAAAACTACACGTGGCTGGTCTCGGGCGTTGATGACAACGGTGAGGTCGGGAAGGATATGCGCGAACTGGAAAAGAAATGAGTACAATGCTTTGAGAAAGAAGGAGACTCACCTTTCCCAGTGTAACCTGCCAATAATACGAATAGGCCACACTTGTCCCCGATGTCTCTTCGACATTCCCATTCTGGATATGCCACCGTCCCAGCCCTCTGTTGTCGCCATTCATCTGAGCAGCCATTAACACTGTTACTCGTATAGCGGACGATATCACACCACGGCAGCAGCGTCTATCATCCGCTGGAAAAAGGCCGGGTCATCTTCAGCCAGCTGGTAGAATGGCTTGAAGTCGCGGTGGATCTGGTCGTAGTCGTCGATGAGGCACTTGTGCTCCTGTGCAAACTGAAACCAGCGGTCATAGTTGCGTGGCGGTTGACGCCCCGTTTTGAGCGTATAGCGCGCGGTGGCCTGAGCCAGTGTCCTTGACTGGCGGTCGCGCAGGTCCGCTACCGAGTTCCGGGCGGCAGCGGCGAAGTATTCCGAGTGGTCTACTTTGGAGGAAACGCGGCGGGGGAGAATGAGAAGGACGATGAAGAGGGCCAATGTGACGGTCGTCCCAACCGATGCCAGCAGTGGTGCGGTCCATTTGCGACGATTAGTCGATTTAGCGAAGGCTGGGCGGGGAAGAGAGAGTTCGGATTGGAGGAATGGTGCGTCTGGCTCCGATTCAGAGTCGTCGAGTGCAAGTTCGGGCAAGCGACTGCTAGAGGTGGGCAGTCGCGAATAGAAAGGATTGTGAAAGAGAGATGGCATATAGCCTGCAGGATGGAGTAGGGAGGGAAAGAACTGCGAGCGGCGGACAGGTGCATAAACGTGGCGACATTTTGAGAAGTTTTCGGCACCTATTTCCTCATGGAGCAAGCAATAAGGCGGGACGGGAACAACGCAACAACAACGCAAGGAAGCGACTCGGAATCGGATTTGCAGTAGCACATAGTAACGGCAAGATTAATCGTAGTGCTTTGATCGTCTTGACAAGCCCGAACGTAGCGTTCGTTGGCTTTCAATGGGTAGAATTTTCATGGTTTGGATGTGGGTGGTCCTACATACCTCGCGCCGTTGCCCTGTTGTTGCTGGTCATCGGTTAGAATAGCTGCGGATGATCGCTTGTTGGCTTAGTGCTGCGGACGGGATTCTACGCCCGTGGTCGGTGAGACGATCTGATCCATTGTCCGATCCAAGTCCGATCTCTTCGAGGCAGATGAGACCAAGGATGAGACAGTCGTCGACAGGCACTTGGAATCTACTTGGAACATATACGCTGTGAGCGTATTTAACATTTGTGGTGAGAGGAGAAGTGAAACGTCGAGAGAATGTGCAATTGAATATTGTCATTGTGACACAAGTACTCACTTAAGTACTGACGTTCCTTCCTCGCACCACCAATTCGCTGGCCCACGATACGGTGCACAGGCAGCACAACATGGAAGAGGCCATACACGTCACTGCGGGAGTTCAGGAATAAATGGCCCCCGTTTTGATTGATTATATGCTTAAAATCAATATACTAAAAAATAGAAATCTCGGCATCTGGGCCAAACTGGCAAAGCAAGTCCCTGACAAGACCCAACTCGGTACGTTCTTGCTGTCTCCTTGTTCGTTCTCTATGCGTGTGGAAGTTGCTCAATATTCCTTAGAGATTTGCTGCAACTACGCTGTGGAACACGCCGACCGCTCTGTTCAAGGCGCCATCTTGCTATTCGATGTATGCGCTCTCCTTCGTCTTTTTGACTGATGACTTGTCTGTATAGGCGACCACTCGGCTCTTCTATCAGTTGGCCGTTGACGGCTACGCCGACCTAGCATCGTTGCCTAACAGCTCGGAGCACTTGGCTCTTGTGCTGCAACTTGCGCTCGATTCTTGGTACGTCGAATAACTACCTCTACCCTTTTGCCTGTATTCTTTTTCTCCTTTTGAATCAAATTGCTCTATTTGGGCTGGTCCTCAAATTGGCATTCACGCCGCTTTAATCTGCTTGATCAGCTTTCCAAATTTTTCTCGCCTGTTCATTCGTTCAACTCCACTACTGAGGTTAGGCTGATGATGCCCGTCGAGGGGCGAGATGGGATACACCTTGCAGTTGGTGGGCTTAGCGTCGGGGACAAGTTCAATGGCGTGGTCCCAAGCTCTCCGCTCCGGTAGCGTATCGAAGGACTCCTTGTTGAAGACGTCCTGGAACTCCTTAGCCCAGTCCGGGATCTCAGAGGGTGGTGGGGTGGAGTTCCTGGCAAAGGCTTCGGCCAGACACTGTGAGACGGTGCTACCTGTGTGTGTCTCCTCTGAGGGACGGAACGAGGTGTAGAAGATGCGGTCACCTTCGAGCTGGTCATCTTTGTCGTCCGAGTCCAAGTCCGGTGTTAGGTCAGGCAGGTCGGAGTCGAGACCGGAATCGGAATCGTCTCCGTCCTCAGGGCCAGAGAGGCAGCTCATATAGCTGTATCTATGCAAAAGATATGGGCAGTGTCCCAGGGGGGTAATGCAAAAGATGAGGGCAACTGCCCAAGAATAAAATGAAATAATATTCTTTGACTGTTTTTGCCTGCTATATCAAGGTATCAGTGATGGGATCAATGGCATATAGGTATGTTGATCAATGTGGAACAATTTTTGATTGCCATCAGAGCTTTTGATGACTATATCTTGCCACATCAACCTTACTTAATTGATTCTTAATTTTTGGTCCCTGGGCTTATAAGTCCCAAATATTACATTGCGACTCATCGGCCTGAAGAAATAGTGATTTCTCTTACTATATATATTTTTGTATTAGTCATATCTCTTGATTCCACTGAGAAATTCATGAAATACATCTGTCTTAACATCTTTTGCATTACTAGTAGAGCCTTGGGACAGTGCCCATATCTTTTGCATAGATACAGCTATATGTACTGAGAGAGGTCCATAGTGCAAACCGAGGGGAACGGGCCGGAACGGAGACATTTCTGGAACGACCGGAGTCACCACAGCTCAGTCCGTTCGACGCGCTCTTCCTCACGGCAGGTCGAGCAATTGCAGGGGCACCGTGTCATCTTGACCTCCTTGGTTTCCCAATTGATCTCTGGGTTATGTTTCCGCAACCAGGAATACCCCAGGATGAGGTCTTGCTTGCCAAGATGGGTGACGGCCAGTTGAACTCGTTCGGCATGGCCCTTGTAGCGCAGGACCAAGTCCGCGATCTGTCTGATGGAGCCAGCGTCATTGGGGGTGCCATCGACATTGAAAACCGGAATCGGCTGATTGAGGGTGCGGACCGGAATGCCATTCTGAGCAACATAGTTCGTGTCAATGAAGTCGGAGGTGGCACCGCAGTCGACAAGCCCAGAGAGCGAGAGCTTCAGCGCACTGGTGGTGGACTCTAGCTCCAACGGGAGGTGGAGGGAGTTCGCCCCAGGGGCAGCGGCAACAGTGTACTGCTTGGGCAGCTTCCTTTCCCAGGCCGTGAGGCGGCGAAGGATGATGACCGGAGTCGCGGGCGGAGTCGGAGACGGAGTCGAGGCGGGGACAGGAAAAGGGTGTGTCTTTCGTTTCGGGCTCATTGTAGGGCAAGGAACTGCATTCATCATACAAGGAGGCAAAACGATTTATAGATGCGAACGAGGGCACACCAGTCACTTGTCGCGGGGGACAAAATCCTCTCCAGCCATCGACTCCGCTATCGTCTCCGGCAGGGCAGCTGTGTCCGTGTAGCGGGCGATCAACTCCGCTAACATCTCGTCGCCGAGTTGTTGGATCACCTCGTCGAGGATGTCCATCGAGCGGACATCGGCGGGGAGGGGGCAATCCCGGGCGAGATGGTTTGGGTCGCCGCACCTGAAGCAGGAGCTTGGCCCGGACCAGGGCCTCGTATTGACGGAAGGCCCGGGTGCGCCAGCTAAGGTAATCCCGGAGGTCCGGGGGGTCGTTCGAGGACGTGATTCCGTTGTTGATCAAGGGGTCAAGTCCGTGGCGGAACTTGGTCACCTTGACCAACACATCTTCAAATCCGGCGAGGTCCATCAGGTTCTCGAAGTCGTCGGTGTACTGGTAGACATCCTTTGTGCCCATGTGATAGGCGGAAGTCTCCAGCTTGGAGAGAGCGTGATCTTGCTCGTTCTCCTCGACGAACCGGAGTCGAAACTCGGAAACGAACGAGCCCCAGGACGGAAACGGAAACGGGGCTTTGCTTCCGTGGCGCTCCGCCCATTGCTGAGCGGGTCCTTCTGCCATAAACGACATGGCATAGCGGACAGCCTTTTCCTCGCTCGCCTCTCCGTTGACCACGAAGGCCTCAGGGGCAAGGTGGGCGTAGGTGCGGACCGCGTAAAGGAACGCGCGGCCGCGTTTCCGGTCGCCGTTGAAGGTGAACGGGGGGTTTGGTCGCAAGACCAATTTTGAGACGAGGTTGATGTCGCCAAAAAGGGCTTCGGAGTCGCCCTGGACCGGAGTCGGAATCGACGTCTCCGGCGATGGTGTTTGGGGTCCGCCAGCATTATTAGCGGCGGCAGCGGCAGCGGAAGCCTGGTTGGTGAGTAAAGCAAGGGCCTCAGTTAGGCTATCGATTTTCGCCTCGAGTGAGTCCAGCCGGGCGTCTGTGGTAGGAGTGACTCCGGACGGCATGACGGGTGCGGGGACCACAGGAGTAGAGGAGGAGGGGACAAGTGGCAGGGGCGGTGACGAGGGCGGAACGGACTCGTACTCCGAGCCTGAGTCAGCACCGAACCTGGCAATTTTGTCCGGTTGATCCCGGAGAGAGTTTCTTCTGCTGTAAGGGCAACCCCGGTGATGTGCTTGCGTCGGGCTTGGCAGCTGACACAAACAAAAGAAAGTGCGAGGGTTCCGACGAAGGTTCGGACCGGCACGCGGTGAGGGCGGGGACAGAGGCTGACTAAGCGCGGGCAAAGACGAGGTAGATACGGGCGCGAGAGCACACAGAAACTAAATAGAAACTGCGGGGAGAATGATCTGAGTTGCAAGAAAATAGTTACAGGTTTTATACTACAAGATAGGCACAAATAGTGCAGTCGAAGGCCGTTCCAGGACCGCCCCCGATGCGTCCGGGAGGCGGCGTCGTGTTGCCGTAAAACGCCGAGACGCGTTTGATGCCGGTGATGGGGCGGGATGCTGACGTAGCTTGGATTTGTGAATGATTTGATCCGCCCGGGATGGCGGTTTCCGCGGTCAGCGCCGCTAGAGGCACAACATCCCCTCCCAAGTGAAATTGTGACTGTCCTCAGTCACTCGGAAGTCGATACAATCCGTGCGCGGCCTTGGTTGCTGCCGCTAGCCGTGGTGCTGGACCTGTCGTCACGCGTTACCTCACGCGTTACTCGCTTGCTCTTGACGTCCATGTCATGCACGCGCCGCGCGTCAACAAACGCGTTTACTCCTCATCTTCTGCCTCCGCATCCATCTCAACACCACCACCATCTTCGTCTCCTTCAGCCCCTTCTGGGTCCGCCAGTACCGAATCTTCTAGTTCCCGAAGGCGCGCGGTGGAGATATCGATGAGCTCATCGAGGGGTGGAGGGGTGGAAGGGGGATGGATTCGCGGGCAAAGTACGGGATGACGCGGAAGGCGGCGATGGGACGGTCAAGGACAGAGCCGTCGAGCTCAGCGAGGATGTAGGCGCCACCACGATTGCGGGAGATGACGATTAGCGGGCCAAGGTACCGTGCACGCATTTTCCGATTCAACGACTTCTCAATGGCCGTATTTCACATTAGGACTAACGCTCCGCGCTGGAAGTCGAAGTCGCGTATAATTGCGGCGTGT